TTTGATTCAGTCGAAACAAAAGCAGCTATAGAGGCTCTGGAACCATGGCGTCCCTACTCGGTACATAATGATCCTTCGTGAGCTTTGAAAAGATTTCACGATCAAAATATCTCCATTCTTCAATAATATCACCATCGATGTAAGAAGAGATCTTCGACAAGGCTATACAATTTTGCCAAGACTATTCACTGCCACCCTACAAAAACGTCATACGAACATTAGAACGGGACGATAGGGGAGTGAATATTGACGGTCGACAATTAAACCATCTTCGCTTTGTTGACGATATCGTTCTCATAACACCAAACATCAGCCAAGCGGAACGAATGTCGACCGACTTCAATAATGCCTGTGGAAAGATAGGTCTTCACTAGATTCAACGAAAACGATGTTCATGAGGAACGAATGGGTTTTGAACGCCCCTTTCACGCTCAACGAAACAACAATCTCCGAATGCTCCAGTTACGTCTATCTAGGTCGTGAAATCAACATGATGAACGACCTAGCTCCAGAGTTGAGCAGGAGGAAACGAGCGGCTTGGGGAACGTTTAAGAGCATTGAAGATTTAGTGAAGAGGACTAAGAACGTCCGACTCCGGGTCCACCTTTTCGACTCGACGATTATCTTTGCCCTAATGTATGCAGCAGAAACCTGCCCGCTACGTAAGCAGGATGAAAGATCACTTGGCGTTATCGAACGCGCAGCCGATTGGTAAACGCTAAATGACAGAGAGGATTTGAAGTTCCTACCTAAAACAGCGATCGAATATCAAAGACGCCGTTCTACGCACTAGCATATCGAAAATAAGGCGGGCCGGACAAGCAATGCGCTTCAACGACAACCGATGGACGAGAGTCCTTACCGAATGGATTCCTAGGGACATCGAGCGCACAACAAGAAGACCACCGACCCGTTGATCCGATTTCTTCACGAAAGCTGCAGAAGAAAGACATGATGCTCAGCGAATTCTTAGAGCGAGGAGGACCCACTGGGCTACTCTTGCACGCGATAGGGATTAATGGAAATGTTGCTGATAGCCGCTCGAGTCAGTCGACGATCAATGGGACGATAGGTAATGCATGTGACAGGTGATGTATGTATGTATGTATGTATGTATGTATGTATGTATGTATGTATGTATGTATGTATGTATGTATGTATGTATGTATGTACGTGTATGTATATATGTAGTGTATTTATGTATGTATGTATGTAATGTATGTATGTATGTATGTATGTATGTAATGCATGTATGTATGCATATATGTATGTATACACATATGTATGTATGTATTCATCTATGTAATGCATGTATGTATGTATGTATGTATGTATGTATGTATGGTATGTATGTATGTATGTATCTATGTATGCTTGTATGTATGTATGTATGTACGTGTATGTATATATGTAGTGCATTTATGTATGTATGTATGTAATGTATGTATGTATGTATGTATGTATGTAATGCATGTATGCATGCATATATGTATGTATACACATATGTATGTATGTATTCATCTATGTAATGCATGTAGGTATGTATGTATGCGTGTATGTAGTGTATATATGTATGTATGCATGTATGTATGCATGTATGTATGCTTGTATGTATATATGTATTTATGTATGTTTTTATGTACGTATGCATGCATGTATGCGTGTATGTAGGATATATGTATGGATGTATGTGTGCGTGTGTGCGTGCGTTGTGTGTGAATGTGCGTGCCTGTGTGTGCTTGTGTTGTGTGTACATGTGTCTATGAGTGCACGTGTGTGTGTGTGTGTGTGTGTGTGTGTGTGTGTGTGTGTGTGTGTGTGTGTGTGTGTGTGTGTGTTTCTGTGTATAGAATTTATTTTTCGTCAAAATGGCTTCTGTACTTTATTTTCTTTAGTTACAAAAGATTCCCTTCTGTGAGAAAGCTTTTTTCCGCATTTCTGGTTCTTATTGGTGGTGCAGAAGCGATTATGGATTGCATTGCGTCTTGCGTAAGGCTTCATTTAATGTTGTTACCTATTATTATGAATGAAATTATGACGAAAAAAATGCACGTTATGAAAAAATGGGTAGTTAAAATAAGTCTGTTTTGCATGAGCTCAGGTGCATTTAATTATTACCATTTTGATGACGAAATAACGAAAGAAAGGTCTCCGAAGTTATCATCAATTTTATTTCTGTTTTTCATGTCCTGATGTATTTAAGCAGAATTTTTCCATTGATAAACATCAATGGAAGGTTGACAAAAGAAAACCTTCATTTTCTCAGCGATTACCTTTTCATTAGCTTTTCGCAGAATTCGATCAATCCGTGTCGTAACCACATTCTAAGAGATAGAAGTGTAAAGAAATGGAGACAACGAAAAATAATGGAGGGGAAAAATGAAGGCAAAAAACCAAAATTTACAAGTAGTTGGCTTTTACACGTTTATGCGGTCTGATGATGATGTCGAGTGCTGCCAGCACGGAACGTGTGAAGAAATGCAAATGAACATCTACGAACTAGGAGTATTAACCACTTCTATTTGGAAGAGCGCTGCTGAGAGAGGTAATATAATCTTAGCGGTGCTACACCGGATTATACTTATGATCACGAAGATCCATGCCGAAGGACGAAAGAACTGTGGACAATCGACTTGGACCAATTCCGTTCGGTGCGCCGACACTTCAACTGAATAAAGTTATTCATTAAAGTTTGTGCTGGCTCATTAACTGAAAATTACATTCTGAATATTCATGCAGATTGAAGAAAGTCTCTCGTTCGTGATCCTAGCATACGATGAAATCTCGAGTTCGTCAAACCCTTCACTCTTACGAAAAAAGCAAAATGGTATTACATATATGTGGGACTAGCTCGCTCTCTTCAAAACACATGGGAACGCTGTGACACGACTCTTCCAATGTTCTAATAACAACTGACTTTACCAACACCCAACAACTTTCATAAGAGCACGGAAACCTCAAGCAGCAGCCGAATCCACATTCCAAAGTTCGATGGCCTTAGTGGATGATCGATGCGAGGAAAACGATCGAGCGAAAGAAGCACTGGAGTGCGCACAGCAGATGTGGAGACGGGTTATGGTTAGGACGAAAGTGTCACTGTGAAATATACACTTGCTAATTATTGGTCTCAAGAAGCAGGGAAGCGATAAATTGGTTGCAGAATTTATGAATAACCCATCTTCAGATGAGCTTCTTTTTTTTTTGTTCAAAATTTCTATTCACTTTGAGAAATGAGATGAGAGTAACGAGTATTGGGAAGCACCTCTGCAAAATGAGCGTTTTACTCTATAGTCGGTTTCAACAAGCTCTTTGCCTGTAATGTGTTGAATTCTACCTAATGATAGTATGCCCATAGATACTCATCATTAGGGTGATCTCAAGCTATTAAGTCAGAGGATTTTGCAGCACATGCCAGAGTGGTCGGTAGATGACTAGACCTTAAGTGAACGCAAGCATGCAGTTTTCTTATAACTGAAACGGAACGAAAGACGAGGCGATTACTCCTACTATGTTGGATTGATTCAGCTTTACAGATGCAAATATTTGCATTTACGTATGCTTTCGCATTCTAGTGGAATCTATAGAATGAAAAAGGAACCTTGTCTAAACAGAGGTACCGAAAATTGATACCAAATTTCATTCCGTATTTCAGAAAAAGGCATATTTCAGCTCAGAATTAATTTTACCAATCGAATTAATCCGATCGAATTTTTACATATTTGTGAATGAGAAATAAGTTTTTTTTTACCACCAAAACAAGATAGTATGAAATTCTAAAGTTTTGAGGCTATGAAGTTATTGAAGGAAGTCTCAGCATCGTCATGGTTACTGTTGTATTTTCGCAAAGGTAATTTTGGGCACTCTTGGAGATGCGATAGCCAGTAGGCGACAGGTTTCGCTAATGCTGTGAATGAAGCAAAATTTTACAGCTCAGCACGCTTTAATTTTGAAGCGTTGGTCGTGCGACATGTGACCGCATGAATTCGCCGGAATGGATTGGTCTGCGTTCAACAGAGTAAAGTGCATAGCAGCGTGAGACGAGGTCGTCGACTTTCTAGCTCTAAGACTCTGCCATATGGTCTCACTCAGATTCGGAAAGGTATAATGAGTTAGGTTAGCAACACACATCAAAACGATCATCGTAATCTTTTCTGGTGCAATTTTGGCTTTATGACGTCTTGTGAGATTTCATCGCAGTCCAGCCACTGTAACGGATTTCGCCAGTATATCATAATCCACCAGTCACACGCCACAATAAGGCCGAAAAGCAGATCCTTCTGGCTATGGTGGAGAAGCACTAATGGTACTACATGTTTTGAAGCAGTGAGATGTATAGAGCAAGTTAATCTACAAGTTCTCGAACAATTCTGTATGCATTTGCCCAGGGATGGTCTTCGATTTTTTGTCGTCAGTAGAAAAAGCCCATCAATGATCTCCTTCATTTTCAAGGTCGAATTAGTACGACCAAATTAACCAATTCAACGTTGCCCTTCTCTAGTATTTTCATGCCCCGATACTTCATTGGTGCGTCAAGCCGTGGCCTTTCAAAAGCTTGAATATGAGTTTGTAGAAGTAGATTTGTAGGGATTACTGCTGCTGATTTGGAATTCAAACATTTGAATTTTCTAAGAAACACATATTATTGTTATCACTCGACTATATGGGAGAAAAGTTCATAAAACAAGCTTTACATTAATATACAACATTGGCAAAAGCCACAGAAACGTAAACAGGAAAAATGAAATTTCGAATCGGACTATAATTTACGCAGTGGAGTAGTGTGCAAAAAGGTTTGCGTCAGCCGGGAATCGAACCCAGATCTCACTCTCTCAGGGGCAAGTGGCAGTCAAAATAAAAAGAATTTAGACTGATGATCGATATCCAATGTCTGTCAACACAAGTGGGTTCAATGCCGATAGCGGCTGCCCCGCCAGACCGTCGACGGTTGGCTGTTGGCAGGCAACGCGTTGTAGCGTAAATAAGAGTGCTGTGCAAAGCGAGCGTCGGTAGTGTAAAGGTTTAGCACATGCTCCCGAAAAGAGTAAGATCTGGGTTCGAATCCCAGCTGACGCAAAAGTTTTTGCACACCACCCTATATCATTGGGTTTATTGAAACATCATAAAACCGCAATAGGCGATCAGATAAAATGATTTTTGAAATAGTTCTGAAAAAACAAGAGCAAAAAAGTCTAATTCCAATGCTACTATGATGCTTGATCACTTCTTCTTCTTATATATTCAGAGAATCCATCACTAATGTTCTATAAGAATAGGATTATAACATAAGTTTAGATAGTGACACGTAATTCAAATTTCTGAAAAACCTCTCGTGATAATTCGATTTTGCGAGCAAGAGAAAAAGCAGGGAAGGGTCGATTACGAAAATGAAATTTCTTTCTCATAATGCATCATATCATTAGTGCGTATACATCAAATTTCAAAGATCTCACCATTACAAAATATCACATGCCAGATAACCATTTTTGAACCACCCATGTCATGTGGTCTGTTATAAGGGCTCACTTATAGAGCCGGATACACGTGTTTCAACCTTGCCGGACTCATCAGTCGGGCGGTACCCTTCTCGTCTTTTGCCAATCCTCTCGGGGCGCTCAGTCTCCTACAGTAAGAGCAAGCGGCGACGAACATTTCACACTCTATGTCCGGTAAAATTATCGCCGAGCACACATTGTATACCCGATTGCTCCTGGCTGGAATCATTAGTATATCATACCTTCCATGCTGAAACACGTGTATCGGGCTCTTCACGTCAGCTCTCATACAGAACACATGACTTGTGTGGCTCAAAAATAAGAAGATACTCGAAAAGAAAAATTATGATTTTCTGGCCGTCGATATGCGTAGGTTGAAAATCTTATTAAAAAATGGAGAAAAGTATGGAAATACACTTTCAGGTCGGTTTAGCTTAGAAAACATATTGCAATCAGAATAAAATCTCTTTGAGCTACTTGTTACTCCAACATTAAAACCACAGTAATACAATGTCTGCGCCATAAAAATATTATTTTGCTCTTTTTGCTCTTCTCCTTATCACAAAAGGTTGTTATGATGTTGACATATGCTCCCCTATGCTAACTAATTTCTCACTCGTCAATTTTTTTTTGTTTCCTTGCTCATTAAGACGTCATTGCTGACTCTTGATTGAGTGCTACATGACAAAACCTTGTATAAAGAATGGCTGTCGATGTGTTGCAGTTCTATATGTATTTCTTTACAGGATGCTGCACTTGCGAAATGAGAAGATTCTGCTAATGAGCACTGAAAAAAATACTTTGTCAATTGATAAGCATAGTGTGAAAACTCCTTTGTGCGTAGGATGCTTACTGGAAGATTAACGTTGCATCGAAGTTCCACAATCGTCTAGGAGGTAAAATATTGAAGCGAATCAAGTATCATGGAAATCGATAATGATCAGTATAAGCGAAAAAAATCGCTGTAGTACATGAACATACACCACCACACACTACCGACATATGGAAAGGGGATGTGGGAAAAGTTTGGATTACTTCATTCTTCACAGTGAAGTGGACAAAACAGCAATCAACATGTCTCGAATTCTACTTGAAAACCCACTAATGCACTTGGAAAACATAAGAAATCTCTTCGCAGAACGCATAGTTCACACGACTTACTTTATATTCGTTCATGCTGCTTACGAAATGAATTTCCCAGATTGAAATGATGTGAAGGACGTAAAGGACGTAAAGATACAAAACAAAGAGAAGCGACGTTATTCAGAAAAGTGTGAATTCTTATTGAAAAGCAAAAAATACATCTTATTGGAAAGTAAAATAAGGTGAGTTGAACAGTTCAGTGCGTGCGTATTTCAGAGCTTATCTGTTCCAAATCCAAGTCTATAATAACTCTATTTTACCGATCGCTCCGCGTGTTTTCTTAAGGCAACACCCATCTATCACTAATAAGTGCCATAACGGACCTCATGAAGGGTTTAAAATATCTTATCAGGTCATAGGTTACTTCATAAGCTTTCGTATCAGAACTATAAACACCAATTAGCCAAAACTAGTTAAAATTGCATGATTTTGTTATCGTTCAATTGCGCATTTTTCACGAATATTTATGCATACAACTTGCCTACGCTTGCTCTTAGATGGAGCTGTCGTGAGAGCAAATTTTGTTCGCTGCTCGTGCAAGAATGTCGTTTAGGGGAGAATGCCAGCGAAGGTGCGTAGGACTTTCGAAAATTTCTGTGGGCGGTCCAAGCTCGATTGATTCGCTAGACTATCCTCTTCCGCTTTGAGCTTCGCGAGCCACTTCGTAGTCGTTCTTTCTGCAACCGTATCATCTCCCCAACCTCCATTAATCTTGTAAGCCGCTTCACAAGCGTTTTCCCCATGGGACATTCGTGTATGGTTAATAAACGAACCTGTTACCCACAACAGGTCCTTCTTTAAGTAAGTATAAGCAAGTTGCACACCAAAGTGTTCGCAAGAAAATGCTGAATTGAACGGTACCAAAATCATGTAGATTTAATAAGTTCTGGTTAACACATTTGACGTTTATTGCTATAGTGCCAAATTTCATAAAACGACCTAAGAAATTGCTTCAAAGGAGGTCTCAAAAAACAGTCGAAAGAAAAGCTATTCTTCGGCTTCCTTCTCACAATGAAGACATGAATTTGTTTATATCTACTTTTCCAAATATAGATAATAAAAGGATAAAACGTTGGACGTTTACCCGCTCTTAGGGGCAATGAGCTAACATTCAGACTCATCAAGCATCATTGGAAGTGACTCCATAAAAACCTTGGTGAATCATGGGCGCCAAATCCAACAATAGACATGTCTGTGTTTCAGGGCATCTCTAACCACTGCGTCACACGTGCCGATTTGCGTCACGTAAATCACACAATACATTTCTGATACGTTGTATATCTCAGAAATACTTTTGAATAGCAATATGACAAAACCAAAGCGTCGCGCTATTGGGATAATAATATTTCCAAAATAGCTCCATTACTAAAGTACTTTTCTAATGTTGTCTAATGATCTTTGCTTTGTCTTAATTGCTTTATCCAACTTAAAGTATTAGTGCATAAGTACTATGTTGATTTGTGATCTAAGCACATCCTAATTGGAAAACTCGCAAGAACCGTGTATGAGGAGCTCATAAATAAATTATTTAACTCGCTACCGATGCCTGATTTCATCATGGGATAACGTAAGCCAAGTAGCGATAATGAAATTGTCGTCTAGCATGAAAGCTTACTAGTTTTTTCTTCAACATAGTAACAACTCTGACCTTTTTATGAAAATCATGAATCCATTCTGCAGTGAAGACAAAGGGCTTGATCTCTTTGTGATTACGCAATTCTTTGAGCACCTGAATGATACACTTGATGAGTAGAAATTCGAAACAATGGAAGAATTTCTTGTGGGATTGTTCAGCCTGCGAAATGATTTAATAGGCGAATTGTGACGTAAGCAAAGCAAACGAGATTATAAGTTCACAATGGGCTAACGGCTGCCAATCTGCTCAAGGTTTTCGTAGGTTCCTCCTATATTCTTAGTGTTTCCACAACGACAAACGTTTACGAGAACATCCTTAGAGGCATCGAGCATCTGAAGGTCGTAGATCGCCGCCACATCGTGAAAGCGAAGTCCAAAGCCAAATCGTACCTCAGGAGCAACTGTGGATTGACCTGCCCGAATTCGACGAATAAAGGTAAACATAAAAAGATATGAGTGCAAATGAAATACCTTAAAGCCATTATAGAACTCTTTAAATTCAACGTAGGTCCATTAAAGGATTCAAAAATGGGCGGTGCTTGTCGTGTCACATATTTGTAGCCCAAGGATTCTTTTTACAGGAGGTCTTCTCTGACTCTTCGACTCTTTGAATGTTCCGACCTGTTCGTATCAAAGTTTTCTGCGTTCGCAGTAACGCAAATTAGTATGCACAAATCCCATGAAACAATTTTTACAAGTCTCATAACACTACAAGGCTTAGAATTTCATTCTTTCTTATGATTTGTGGTATGGCACGAAACATTACACTACTCTTCTAACACTGCCGAGCCTGTAAAGGCGAAACAGGCTTGCCCAGTACTCTATAAGTGCCATACCAAACCTCATAAAAGGTTCAAAACATGTTTCAGGTTTTCAGATTATTGTTTTCAAGCGAACTCTAGAAAATCAGCTGAATGAAGAGCAACAACAAGCTCGACAGACTTGCGGGGATATGTTATTCGACGTCGATTCTTTTATATGTAGGGGTACGCTTCCTTGGAAAGGATGGCTGCACCGAAATGGACCGTGCTACTGATGAGCCTGTTAAGGCGAAACAGGCTTGTCTAGTACCGTGTAAGTGCCATACCAGACCTCATTAAAGGCTCAAAATATTATATCAAGTTAATACTGCAAATTTAAAACTCAAATCCAACGACTCTTGAAAGCATAAGAGGCGATGCGTTAACCTTAACAATGCATTGCAACAACCTTGTGCTAGTGTCTATGAACGCATTTGAAACTGTTTATTTATACCGACTCGAATGAGAGTCATGATGAACATGCCCTGTTAAAAAATTTTGTGTTAATAAAATACGGATCGATACTGCGCAACTTAGCAGTCATCGGTGATTGAGCCCATTCCAGGGGACCGTCATGGATTACATGTGAGATTTCGCAGCTAGTACTCGTACTCATCTGCGATTTTAGCTATTTGTAGCTTTATTAGTTCAGTCTTCGCATGAAATTTATTCAGTGCTGACTCGATATAGAGTTTCCAATGGATTAGATTCCGCTGAGCTCTTGATTTGTCCGTTGGCGTCTACTCATGCATACTCTAGATTTGTCAACGATTTTAGACCGCTTGTAAATGTCTGCACTCGCACGAGACTACAAATATAACTACATATTTTTTGTTCACTGCTACAAAGTTTTCTTTCAAAGAAGGCGTCATCGTTTTGACTCCAACTCGAGCACTCCATATCTTTTTGCTTCTTCTCTTCAAGGACTACACGGTGCTGCATATAAATAATGACTTTGGGATACTCTTACTGCTGTAGTTTCCGTCTGACAATGAGGTTGTCT